GAGGGCGGAGGGCGGCGAGCGGGAGGGAGGGATGGAGGGAGGGGAGGAAGGAGCGGGGCCCGGCGCTCACCTGTCGTCTCCTCTCCGCAGTGGGCACCGCGGCTGTGCGGCTCCGGGCTGCGCCTTTTCGTCCATGTGGCCAACACGGTGAGTCGGGGCGAGGGGCCGGGTCGCCGGCCGGGCCCGGCGCCGGTGCTTGGCGTGTAAACAAGGCAGTAAAACGCGAGGCTGCTGGGGGAAACCGGCCAGGACTGCCCGGGGGGTTCCGAGGAGGGGGGTGGTAGGTGGTGGTGGACCCACGTTTGTTGGGAAATTGTCGGGAGGTTGCGGGTCTCTGCGTGGTTTGGGGTTCACCCTGTCTCACTTAAGGTGAGATGACGTGGGGGGACAGAGGGATGGCCTCTGGGTGAGGGTGTCCTGAGTGTCCTTGGGCACGGAAGACGACACCAGACTCGGAATACAGCCGCCGCCAGCTTTACTTGGATGTCAAGGGGTTTGGGGTCCCTCAGGCCTCTGAGTGGGGTTGTCAGGGAAGGCGCTGAAGGCAGATGTTCCCCCAGAGCTCTTTCTCAGGTGGGCTTTGGTGCTGAAAGCAGCTTTGCCCCCCAGAGCTCTTCCTTGGGTGGGTTTTGGTATCGAAGGCAGCTGTCCCCTCCAGAGCTCTTCCTCAGGTGGGCTTTGAGCCTGTGGGTTGATTCCAGCTGAGGCCGGTGTGGAGGAGGCATGGCCGCTGTATGGCAGGGTGCTGGGGGGGAAAAGCCTGTGTCCCCTTGGCAGTGAGCACCTTGTGGCATTGTGTACCCGAAAGCAGGTGGATTTTGTTGTTGTTGCTGCTGCTTGGCCTTTCCTTTTGAGCCAGTGTCAAGGTTAGGCATGAAAGTCTTGTTTCAGCAGTGTGACCTGCTACAGAGCTTGGCAGCTGGTGGGGCCTGGAGTGAAAGCTAGTAGTGGGCTGTGCCTTTATTCGTGAGAATACCTTACAGGTGGCTTTCTTCCAGGATGTAACAACCAGAATACCTTTTTATCCCTTGCTTTGTGGCCGCTTCTAGTGCGTGGCCCTGGGCTTGTCTCCTTTTGTGATGCAAGATGCTCAATCTCTTACAGAATTGTGCTGGTTTAGATTCGATGTAGATTAGGAAAAAAGAAGAGACTGTAATTCTTACGTAATGTGTGAGGCAACCTATCGCTTCATGGATCTAGGAGTGTGAGCCTTGCTTCAGACTTGTGCTGTATTTGCACATCCCTTAACAGGTTTTTAAAGTCCATTGTTGAGCTATTAAGGCTGACTAGAACAAGACTGGTCTCTTTGGGACCGCTGGTATTTCTACACTGGGAACCAAGGTATTCAAAGGGTGTTTTCAGCTGCCGCCTACCATGGAATCTCTAAATTTCTCATGCTTTTCCAAGCTGACTCTGTTTACTGCAGGAGCTGGTTGAGCAACAGGAAAGATCCTAACAGGGAGAGAAACAGAATAATAAGCTTCTACCGTATTCAATGTTTGCATAATCTGCGGAACATGAAGAAAGGAAGGGATGGGAGCTATATAGATGCCTCTTAAGTGTTGCAACCTGCAGCTGCAGGCTTTCTGGACAGAGTCAGGGAAGGACAAAGGCAGAAGAGCCAAAGAATACACTCTTTATAATTACATAAATATGAGAGGAGGAGGGAAAGCATTTTGGGCCAGTTTTGTGGCCTGAAATAGAAGGATTTGTGCTATTTTTTTGCCACGTAGCATTGCATTTTCTCTAGGGTGCCCTGAGACTGCAGAAATTGTTAGCACATTCACCATTCCTTGTCTAGTGAGGAAGGTGTTCAGGTCAAAGTTACTGCAAACCAATGTTTCTGCTTACTTTCTTCTAGGCTTTTGGACAGATCTTCTTACTGCCACTCTTAATAAGGTAAGAGTGGGGAGTTTTCTACCCCTCCAAGTTTGGTTTTTGTTTTGTTTTGGTTTGGTTTTTTTTAAAGATGCTTGCATTGCACACCACTTAAAGGTTGTCTGAAGTGGCCTTTTCTAAGAGGGAAACTGCATAACTTGATTGGAGAGTGAGCAAGATTATGTCATAGATGTTTACTAGCTTATTTTTTTGACTACTCTGGTTTGAGTTGGTCTCTGTCAGAAGAAATTAACCTTTTTTCACACTCAGGCAGGTGCATAGAAACTGAATTCACCAGCTTGCCTCATTGCCTTTCTGTTCTTTTACGAAAGAGTAGTCTTTTTTTCAAGGCTGTGTGAAGGATGTGTGAATCTGCTGTGTTTATAACCAGCAGTGGTAAAAGAATAGTAGTAGTGGGGAAATGAGGCCAGACACGAAGTTCAGAGGTATTAGTATGTTCTTTTTAAAGATATTCACTGTTTTAGGTCAGCCTTTTCTCCTTCTCTCTCACTTATGTTTTTGTTTAGAAACTGTGCTTTCAGTTGTACATTGCACTAAGAGCCACTCAGGTAAGAGGTGTCAGGAACCTCAGACTCGTGCTTGGCTGACATAGTTTGCTCACCATTTGATGGGTCATCTGTGCAGGGCACTGAGAAGTGTATTAAACACAATTGGTACCCCTGAATTTTTACTTGAGGCATGGGCTTTTTTTGAGTGAATCAAACCCAGACAGATGTCACTGCTGTTAGACAGCAGATCATTCCTTGACACCTATGGCAGGGTCTTGATTTCCTTGCTTTACTTGTTCCAAGTCCAGGACTTTTGCTGCAATCCCTGTTGTGTTTGGTTGCAAACAAACTACGTTGAGGCATGTCATGGAAAAGTTTGAAGAGGTGCTTGTTTTAACAGGATTAGTACTTGAATGTATGGCTTGTACTATTTTCTCCTTTTATTTTCTTCTCCATTCCCGTCTTTTTTGGTCTGTAGGCGATATGTCTAATTACAGTGAATCGAAAACTTTCATCATTTTATTCCCATTTTGGGTTTACGGAGGCTGGCTGGCCTTATGTCAAGAGGTAGGAGGCTTTGCTAAGCAAGCAGAATAGATTTGATGCTGCCTTTAGGAAAGGTGTGAGAGATTATCTTGTAACTGTTGCAACTCCCTGCTGTGAGAGCAGACTGCTAAGACAAAATGTTCTTGGGTAAGGTTCCCTCTGAACAGTGAAAAATTCGTCATGGTAGAGCTTGCAAACTCTAGCAGTGACTCTCTTTCAGGCTGAACAATTTATCGCTCATGCGGTCGCTTGACATTCATGAAGATCCCACGTTTATCCCGGAGGTTGCTGCGGAGGTTATGGAAGACAAGTCTGAAGCTAAAAGAACTTCAGATATTATCGAGCAGCTGATAGATGGCAGGTCAGTATGTGATGTAAGAGTGGAGTGGAAGAACACATGTGTTCGCACTATCACGTATTAGTGGGAAGCTGTCATTGTCAGTAATCTGTATTAAAATCTTTTTCCACACCCAGCCACTTTACAAAACAAATAGTGCTGTCAGTCATCTTTCCTTTTGTAACTTATATATCACCAGTAGTTACAAGCAATGTGAAGTTTCTGCAAGCTTCAGGGAGTCTGCTTATTGGGGAGAGACCAAATTCGGCCCTTGCCAGAGCTCTGGTTGCACCAATAGAACAGATATACTTAGTGGTTTGCTAGTCAGCGCACACATCCCTTTAAGTGAGTTTGCAGGTGTGCTGTTTCTTGCCTGCAAGGAATCTCAAAGAGAACACAGGGGTTGCTTGGAGGAGAGAAGGAATGCAGGTTATAAAGAAAATGATCCACGAGAAATTAGGTTTTGTTAGTTAGGTTGCTTGGATAAAAGCCTGTTCAGCATCTTGACTGCAGCCTGTGCTCGATTAAATTGCACTGGATTCCAGGCGAAACGTTTCTCAGGCTCATGTGTCTCGTTGAGGTCTGATGCTGAGGTGGGAGCAGCTGGGCTGCTATTAATGCTCTCCCCATCTGTTTTTGGTTCTTAGTTGTGGGCCTATCCAGTAGTTACTGAAAATGTCTATGAGCTGCGCTACATCAGCGTCTCACAGAGTGGGTTCTCTCTATGTATCTTCGCTTTTAACAGGACTAAGCTTGCTCCCTGTTTGAGTTCTTAAGCTAGAGCAGGGAAAAGCTTTTGGCTCCTTCACTTTAGAGGGAGGGATGTATTTCCTGCAGGCATTGATCAGGGTGAGTGCAGTCTTCTGGTTCTTGTATCCCCAGCTCCGGCAGTAATACATTGAGTATTACAGTTACTGGAACCTTACCTCTTCCCTGCATAGCACGTTATGGTGCCTTACGCTGTCCCGTTCCAGGATATGGCTTCTGGTTTGGGTGATTACTTGGAGACATCACAGGAGTAGTAATTGTAGCTAGCTTTTCAGATGTTCATCCTATTGTGATGAGAAATGCTCTATTTCTTATGTACTCGAGCCAGTGACTTAGTTTTTAAGCAGTTTGCTGATGTGAATCCTAGTGTGTGCTGCATAACATCTCTTCCCGCTCTCGTACCATACACTGTGTGTGCTGCTGGCTGTTCAGATCGAACTTAGGATCCTGGGAGTAGGTTTACCAATATATTCTAGCTATTCTGTAATGGTCCAGTAGTGAGTAGCAAATGTAAACCTGGAATAAATTTTGAACAGTTTAGTGACTGCTGTATTGCAGTAGAATTACAAAGCAACTAGAACATGTCAGCAGGGCATGTGCCCTTATTTCTGTGGCACCCTGACTGTAGCTGGCATCTTGCATGTGTGCCAGGAGTCTTACAGAGTGTGAGCTGAAATGCATAGGCTAGCGGTCCAAATGGTGACCAGCAGGTTTACTGTGAGTGAGTGATGCCCAGCCTGCATTGAACCGTGATGCTGCAGTCTATAGGTCTAAACAGAGATGGCTTTGGTGGTTCACATTCGTCCCTTTAATCCTTTCTTTGCAGGTCTGATTCTGCTAGCAACGGGTTTAGCTTCAAAGGGATCAAAGACTACCTGGACTGCTACCGGTAGGTGAAATTATGGTCTGGAAACAACCTCTCTTGCATGTTCCCCTGCTGTGGGCTGTTATTGTTCCACAAGCTCTCAGGCATCTCTTAGTTAGGATTGTCCTTGAGGTACCACTGTTTAGCGTTGCCCTCTGCAATCCTTTCTCCCTAATAGAATAACGAAGGAAAGCCAACTGGGAGAGCTGACACAACTTTTACAAGCCCTGCAAGGATATTTAAATGCTGTTTTCCTTGTCTTATTGTCAGTCTTCTCTGGGAAAGATTTCTACATACCTTGTTTGCCCAAACACATGAGTGAGAAGGAGAGGAAGGTTCATCTGGATGATGCGAGTTGCACATACTGTGGGTCTCTGAAGATTCCCTTGGTTTCCCAGCTGCTTGTGCTCCTGTGAGCAGTTTGACTGCTTTCACCCAGTAAACATGTCCAGCTGGGGAAGAGCTGGAAGCACATCCCTGACTCTGAGGTTCTGCAAGCTGTTGGCTGCTCGGTAACTCCTGGTTGCCTCTGGGCCATGTGCCAGATGTGGAGCGCTCAGATAAATCCTCTTGCACTCCTGGCACTTGTTCCTTGAGGGCCACCTCTGCCAGTAGGCTGTGGCCTTGGAGCAAACAGCTGACACTGCAGTCTGGTGTTATAGGTGAGGCTTTTGTGTCAGCCAGAGGTAGATGTGTTTGTGGTGTGACATAGCCTTTTGCCAGGAGGGAGGGAAGGCTTGTTTGTTGAAGGTGGGTTATGACCGTAATGCTGTGAGCCCTTTGCTGTAATGGGAGACCTGTACAAAGGGAGCTGGCCTCTTGGTCTTAGCTCATGATACTGGGAATTCCATAGCATCAAGATTTCAGCAGCTGGAGGACTGTCTGTAAAGCTGTCAGCTGTCCTTCCCTGTTTATCTGGTGGTTCAGGGATATCTGGGTAAGTCTCTTAGCTCCTGCCCCTAGTCTAAGGGTTGGGGGCATGCAACCCAACTAAGGGTGTAGGCAAATTCTCACCTTAAGGAAGGGAATTTTCTATCCTGATGGTGTCAACTGTGTTAAAATCATCACCACGTGCAGATTCTTACCTAGTTCTTGCTTACAGCTGTGACAGCTGCCATCTTGCTACATGAGAGACAAACCCTGTGTGTGGGTGTGGTGTGGGGGTCTTGTAACAAGGTCCCTACTTCTCCTGTCTTTTAGGAGTGGGAAGCTGACGCCATCTCAGGTAGCAAAGAACATCATTGCCACGCTGGAGGACTGCGACAAATCCACACCCCCACTCAGAGCAATAGTGCAATGGGACCAGGAGCAAATAATGCTGGTAATGTCTGCCTCTGGTAGGGAAGGAGCCTCTGCCACCTCAAGAGCAGTAGCATCCATTAGAAAGGGCAGAGGCTCTTCTGCTGATATATTGCATAGAAAAATATGTATGTTTTTCCACCCTCCTTGTGTAGAGGACTACAACAAGTTTGCTTTCCTTCCTGCAAAGGGAAGTAGCATTAAAGCAGTCTGTTTCCTGCTGGATGACTGTGTTTAAAACAGGACTTCTGTGCTTATGTGGCATTTGTTAGCATAGATGCTTCCAAGCAGTAGTTTGCCATCAGCATATGGTGGAAGAAGAAAGAAACTCTTACAGTTTGGCTTAGTAGAAGTCTGAGAAAACCATTTTTGGTATCTGTTCTGATACTGGTAGTGACCTTCAGCTCAACTAAATATATATAACATATACTTTTTTTTTCGTCTGTGCAGATGGCTGAGGCCTCCACCGTTCGTTACAGGAATAAATGTACTCTCTCTTATCTGGATGGCATCCCAGTGTGTCTGAAAGAAGAGTTCAAAGTGGTGAGTTTCCTTGTCTGACTGTCAGTTCATGCTGCAGGTGGTCAACCCAGAAAACTCACTGCGACAAAGTTTTAAGGCCAAGTCCTCAGCAGAGACCTGAGAATATTTGTGATAAGGGGTAGTATATGGGTTTGTAATGAGTAGGATTAACAAGTTTTGCCAGGTGAAGACAGATCTTGGGTACAGCAGACACGTTACATATCTTGTACTGATCTCTTTAATCCATGGGGATTAGAGGGTGGGCGTGGGAAACAGTCTCTCTTATGATGAAATGAGAATGGGTAAAAGCATCTGTAACTGTCTGTATTTCTCGGGCACTGACGGCTCCACCGGCAAAGCATCCCTCTCTCCTTACCTTAAAGGACATACTTGTGTCAGAAATATGCAAATTACTTTGAAAATTCCCACTTACAAGGAGTTTTGCCTGTGGCCTAACAACAGTTACCGTTAAATACTCCTGGCAGTGCCATCAAGCTGTCATGGGCTCTGCAGAGACCTACCCATAGGGTGGGAGTCCTGTTTATGTACAGATTCTTCCATTGCTGCATCGAAGTGAAGAGTACATAGCATACCCTGAAAGTGAGTCCATCTGGTATTTTGGCATCCATCTAATCTCGGTGCCGTGCTTCAAAGCACTGCAGATCTGAAACACTGCTGCTTTGTCCGTAGAAAAATGGAAAATAGAGCTCCTGTGTGCTGTGGGGACAAGGTGACTGTTCTGCAGCCTTTGGGCATAGTGATTGCATTGCTGCAGAGAGGCAGACTTTGATCATCTACATGATTCTGCTTTTCTGTGTCATGGTATTAAAAGGACTCCTCTGCATGGGAGAAAGACAAAATATTGAAGGATTAAGTGTCCCTCCTAAGAGAAGCCAACACAGAACAAGTTGAAAAGTGAAGCTTCCTAGCCCTTACTTACCTCTGTGCGTCCTAATGTCTGGGATCTGTTGTGGAGTTGAAGTGTGCATGTGAAATATGCACGTGTGCCTGCTTACCTTGCCATTGTTTTGGGATGATTAATAACGTGTCTTCTTGCCTAAGGTACCTTACCGTCACCGAGTGGGAACAGTGTATCTTGGGACAGAGCCTGAAACAGAAGATGCTACTGTGGCCAAGAAGCTGCGAGAGGCTGGAGCTATCATTATTGGGGTCTCAAACATGCATGAACTAGGGACTGGAACAACTGGATGCAACCCTAATAGGTAAAAATCTCTTTTCCCCTCCTTCACCTAGGTCTAGAAAGACCTAAAAGTCTGTCTAGAACTGACAGGGAAGGGTACAAAAATAGGGCAAGCGTGTGAGAATAAAACTGACAGAAGCACCCTGTGCAGGAAAAACCCTGGGGGTGTGAAAACCAAGCATTGTAGATTTGAGGGTCAGAGTAGCTGTGGGAGCCTGAAGACTCCTGAAACCAAAGGAAGGTGAGGATCCAAGTGGTGTCTGTTGAGTAAGGAACTCGGTTTGCCACGCCTTAGAGGCCTGGAGGTGTGAATGTTTACAGGATGAGTGGTAGACAAAAGCAGTGACAGAAAACAAATAAATAGTAATCTAATGCTCAGTCACAGAAACGGCTAAAGGCCCAGAACAGTGAGAAAGGGCACAGTCATCTCAGGAGAACATAGTGTTTTTGTTTCCTAGCTAAAACGGGTACACTGGAATTTGCTTTACTATTGTGAATTGTCCAGCTATAGCCAAGCTGAGAACTGCTATCGTAGAGCAGTGGTCTTCACAGCCTTGATAAGCCATATGCAGGGCCACGCTTCATGCATGTGTAGCTGGATGGAACTGGGGCTCCCCCTCAGCTGGAACGACGTGCCAAGGCATTTCCTCACTGTGTGAGGTTGGCTAGATACCCAGCCACCTGGCAGCTCTCTTTGGTGTCTGGGGACTGTGATCAAACTGGAGACTTTGGGAGCTGCTGCTCTGGGATAAAGGGGAGAGCTGGGGATGCTGACTTGCTTGTCTGTAAGAATTGCTGATCATCAACTGCTCCGCCTTTTGAAACTGCATAATCATGGAATCATGAATGGTTTACATTGGAAGGGACCTTAAAGATCGTCTAGTTCCAACCCCCCTGCCATGTGGCATGCAGTAATGGCACAGTGCTGTTGGAGACGGAAGAGCTGGAGCGGCATCCTTTCTCCTGCTTTGCATCTGTCTCTTGAATAGGCTGCTTGTGTTAACAAAAGATTGGACTCTGAGGCAGAAGTCTTTTTTGCATCTTGTTTTCTAGGGACATAGCACTATCTGGGATGCAATGTATCTCTTTACTAAGAGATTGGAATCCCTCAGCTATGTTTCTGGATCTTTTCCTGAAATGTATCTCTTTACTAAGAGATCAGCTATGATCAGATTTACTAAGAGAACTCAGCTATGTTTCTGGATCTTTTCCTGCCCTGTAATGCATGCAGTCCTTCCTAGGAAAAGATTCAACACTATTTGTCTGCCTCAGGTACCACAAGATCCCTAGGAATCCCTACAAGCCTAACCACTTCACAGGTGGGAGCTCCAGTGGGTCAGCTGCAGCTGTAGCAGCAGGTAGGTGGTCCTAAATGGAGTTTGGGGGTGGTGGGAGGAAGCTCCTGAGCCAAAGTACCTCAGGCATTTAGTGTGTATGAGTGGGTTTAGAAGCTGGAGGGAACTCCTAGCTGAACAGAGAGCTCTGTGTGCTGTTTTTGCTGCAGCTGCTGGTAAAATGGACAGGGCAACATGATGTCTCTCTGATCACAGGCCAATGTGTGGTTTGTTGTTTTTTTTTTTTTTGTAGGGCTCTGCCCAGTGGCTATTGGCACAGATGGAGGCGGCTCTGTGAGGATTCCTGCTTCGTTCTGTGGTGTGGTCGGGCTGAAAGGTAGAGCCCTTTAATCATGGAGGGGGTGTGTGTCTTGTTTGGTATATCAGATAGAATGCCACAAACAAGTCAGGCACAGTCCATTAATTCCTGTCAAGCAAAATTTGACCAGAGAAACTCTGGAGTATAACACCCTGAGAGTCACGTGGGTTGGACTGGCAGAGTGGAAGTATTCTCAGTACTGGCTGTTGAACAGATGTTCAAAAGACCCTAACTTATTTGAGTCAAATGCTAAACAAAACATGCCTGCTGCTTTTCTTTCTACCCACTCGTCCCTCTTCCATCTTCCTTCTCTGCTGGGAGGTGTTCCCAACATAGTTGGGTATCTGTAGTGAGCTAGTGAAAAGCATCTCCACTCACAATTGTTTGCCATCACCCCAATTATATGGAGAGGCTGATGCTGCTCAGATTTGTATCTGGTAAGTTAAACCTGGTAATAGGGTTATATGAAACCAGGATGTAGCCATTCCCTCTTATCTCAGTGTTACAGGAAGTAACAATACAGCTTTTGCAGTAGGAATTAATGTAATCAAGAGGAACGTGCAGAGTACATAAGATGTGCATAGAACAGTATCTACAGCATGGAAGGTAGCAAGGCAGGATTGTCACTTGGAAGAGATGCCGGCTTTTTGGAATGGTTCATTCTGAACGATCTTGGCTGCTTCATCTCAGACCAGATACTCAGCCATTACTCTGGTTTTCCATCCTTCACATGCGATCAACTTGATTAAACTTGATTCATCTGAGGAAGATAGTGATGACGATGACAAAAATGTAACTGGTTGGAAAGGCAATGCGAGTACTCACAGAAGACAACTGGTGTTAGGCATGAAGTCTCACTAGTGAAGTGGGTGAGATCTCCCAGGGGGTGGCATCTGCTGCTGTTGGCAATCCTGCTTCTGCCTCTCCATCCTCCCTGCCATAGATGCTGCTTCTGCATATTTAAATGCATGTATTTAAAAATATCCCTGCACGTATTTCCCCTCAACTAAATAATTTCTTATGGGGGAAAACAGTTTCACTATTTGTTGAATGCATCTGTTTCACTGATGAGACAGATCGGATCGTGGTCAGCAGAACAGGGTGTTGGAAGATGCGTGACTGGGCTCTGAAATGGCAGACATAAAAGGGACTGGCAGGGGTGCGTTGCTTACTGACTGGGTGCACCAGAGCCATCTAGGTCAGATCTTACTAGCAACTGCTACTATCTAGCTAACTGCCCGTTTCTTTCTCTAGGTACATTCGGGCGCATCAGTTCTCATGGCAGCTTGCCACTCTCTTACTCCACAGTCAGCGTAGGTAAGAGGACTCGTGCTCCACTTCGGGGACCTTGGTGTGTGGTGTTCTCACAGGGGAGGCAATCTGTGCCTACAAAAGACCTTGGGAGCAAGGTACGAATTACCCCTTGTCACATTTTTATAACTGATATCTCTTCTTATAGGCCCTATCTGTACCTCAGTGGCAGATGCAGCCATTGTTTACAGTATTCTTGCTGAGCCAGATCCACTCTATCCGTATGGTAGGTGAGCCCTCTCCCTCCCTTAGCCCAGGTGCTGTGTCTCCCTGGAGGCATCCTAGATAAAATGAGGAACTTTTGTTTGTTCCCTGCAGGACTAAAACAGCCCAAAGCAACCCTGTCTGATATGTGTGCTCCTGACCTGAAAGGCTTAAAACTCGGAGTGGACTGGACGTTTTTTAAGGTGCCTGCTCTCTCTTTCTCTTTCTGCTGCTTTGCAAAATGAGCTTTTGAAGGAATTCAGTGCATTCACTGTTCTCTTGCCCGTCGCCATTAGAACTTCTCTTATTTAGTCCTATAATTGGAAGAGAATATAGCCTGGGTGAAAACATCAACAGGGATAAATTTTTTTCCCAAGGTAGCCTTTTGAGTAAAAGTCTGTTGGAGGCATGAGGAAAGTTAATGACTGTACAGTTGATGGCAGTATGCTTCCTCGTACTGCTGTTTCTATCAGAAGCAATGCTTCTGAACTGATTAGAAAAGTTTAAAATCAAATGAGGAAAATTAGTGTATCCATTTGGTGACAATGCTGTAGCTGCTGAGTGGTATTTTATCATTCCAATGTAGAAACTGGGCTTGCAAGCTAGTACGGCTTGGCAATTGTAATGCAACCCCACAAATGCACTCAGGATTTCTTCCCTGGATGAAAACAAGGACTCTTTCTGGCTCTGCTCCAGTGCAGAGGAATATCCTCTCCTCTGGAAAAGACAACCTGCAAGCTGTTTTCTTGGAGCGGGTGGCCTAAGACAGTCCTGGAAGGCTGTGTTTCACTACCGTTAAGTACAGAACAGGGAAAGCTCCATAAGGACCAAAGTCCTCGTGAGTGTGCTCACCAAGGAGATGAGGGCAGTGACTAAAGTCTACTTAGTTCTTTCCTCTTTTTCTCTAGGCATGTGATGCTGAAGTCCTGTCCGTCTGTGAGAAAGGTAAAGAGGAAAAGTTTTTAAGTCTCTTATTCTGCCTGATGTCATGGTATCACTTGGTGCTCCTCTTGTGTGCATTAAAAAGATCTCGCCTGAAGTCCTTAACGGCAGATGCTTAAAGAGGTCTGGCTGGACAAACAGCAGTAGCTTTGTATTAGGGAAGCCCTCCTGACTGCTGAGGGTTAAAAAGCTCAGCAATTGTAGACTTGTCAGGTTACAATGGAAGAATGCAGTCCAGTGTGCTAAGCCTCTGTCTGCATAAAGACAGATCTGTGCTCAGTAATACTTAGTCTGCAAGCTTTAATGGTGAAAGACCTAAGGGAGGGACTTGTTTCACAACATAATGTTCAGTAGGAAAAACAGGGCTATGTCTTTGTGATGTATCCAGTCGTCTGGTATTTCCATGAAATCAGCCAAATGGTGCCTTTAGGGTGGCTTTGTCAGATTTTACGCTAAGCAAAATTGACACTGGTGAGTACATGGTGGGGTAGGAGAGAAAGATTCTACAATGCCTGGTATAGTAGTTGGCCTCCTATACATTGGAGCTGATATATTTCACAGTATCCAGGCCTTGCTTGCCTGGTTTTAATTCAGCCTCCTTATTTCCATAGACACATTTCTATATGTGTAGGGTTTTCTTAGGAGAGATGCACCATAAGCCAGTGGAATAGGGAAACTTGGGTATTTATGAAGAAGTTGGGGTCAAAGAAAGAAGGGGATTCTTTCTAGACTGCAAAAGATTCCCTTTTCCTGAAGTCTTGGTGTTCAGCCTTGCTAAAGTGCATCAGGATTTAGTGAACCTATACTGTTGACCTGGTCTCTTGAGTACCCGCCGTCTTCCTCCACCATTATGGTTCAGAAGAGGCTTTGAATGGGAATCTCGTGGTGCTAAATAATCACTTCATGCTGATAAAATACCGGTCGTGTCAAGTGCTCTAGGAAGCACTGTCAGTCCACCCTTACTTTTTAGGTTAACTGGGGGGCTAGAGAGAGGAGATGAACTTGCCTGAAATGGAGTGGGTAAGTTAGGAACCTGTCTGCAAGCCCCTACCCCTGCCCTGCTGGAGTATTGAGATCTAGTTAGGCTCAAGGCTTTTACCTATGAGAAGCAGCTGCAGCAGTCTGCATGCCACATGATGCACTGAAGATGCTTGCCTTTTAATGGCCTATGGGGTCTCTAACTTCTGAGGGGGTGGGGGATTCACAGCCCTTCTGTGAAGTCTGGTGAACTCAGGGATGCTGTCTGTGCTTTACCTGTTCTGTACTCAGCTGTGGAGCACCTGCAGAGTTTGGGAGCCAGCGTGGTTGAAGTGTCTCTTCCAGAGATGGAAGAAGTGCGAGTAGCACATGTAATCTGCATTCTCAGTGAGATGAGGGACTTCCTTCAACCTGACTTCAATAAACATTTCCAGGAAATGGTAAGTAGCAGTAGGTTGGATCAGTGGCAGTAGTCATCCTGGCTGATACAGAACAAGTGTCATGTCAGTGAGAAACCTGAGACTCTCCTGCCTTTTCTGTGACAAACCATCTGTTGGATGGCTACTGATACAGGAGAGCAGACCTGGAAGAGATCTCCTGGGCTGTCACATACAGTTTCTTGCAAGCAGAGCCATGATCAATGTTTTCTCTTTCAGAATTTGGACACTCGGGCTAACCTGGCCTTGGCTTCCCAGTTCACAGCTCTGGATTATATTACGGTAAGGGAGGAACATACTGTGGTGAAGGCTGAAGGCAGGCACCTAGTGAAATTCTAAAGGTGGGGTAGAGGATTCTCTTAACCTCCCCTTACATGTTGAAAGAAAGCACTCAGCTGTACAGCCTCTGATGTGAAAGAATGCTGGATGGTGGGGCACAACAGAGGACATGTATTGGTGTCCCACATGTTGATTCCAAACTGCAGGAAATGTGTCTTCTTTTGCAAAGGCATAGACTGTGATGGGCAGAGTCTGTCATCATCAAATGTGAGCCTCGGAACCAGGAGGGCCTGGTCAGACAGTAGTCTCTCTGCTTGCAGGCAAATCGACAGAGAACTCGGACCATGAGATTTTTGCAAGAGATCTTCACCACTGTGAACTGTATCCTTACACCAGGTATTGGCAACCTCGGCTAAAGAGCTGGTCCCTGACAACTGTGTGGTGCATTTTAAGAATTAATTTTTCCTCCCCAATTTTAAGAGCATGACTTTTGTGCAAAGACTTCACTGTGCCTCAAAGCCTTTAAAAGATAATGCAGCCTCCTTAGAAAGACTGCTATGTATTTCTAGGTTTGCTGTTTATTTATACACTTAATGCTATATCCATGGCAGTGAGAAACTCCTTGGTACTTGAAACAGGAGCTGCAGAGCCAGCACATTTATACAGGAGGGACTGGACATCTACTTATGTATGCAAATGTTCTTACTCTAAATAGAAACTAGCTGCTTAATTCATAAATCCCAGTGACTTGATTGCGTTCCAGGGGTGTGAGCTTGCATCACCAATGTATATCAAACATGGGGCTTTAATGAACTGAGCTGTTCCTTGAAGATTGCTCGCTGACTCTTCCTTTGCTCTTTAAGCACTGGATCACATTGCCCAGAGAGGCTGTGGAATCTCCATCCCTGGGGATATTTGAAAGCTATTCAGATATGGTTCTGGGCAACCTGCTCTTGAGACAGAAGGTTAGACAAGATGACCTCCTGAGGTCCCTTTCAATCTCAGTCATTCTGTGATTCCTCCACAGGTGTTGCTTCCACTGCCCCAAGGATCTATGAATCTGACCTCTTGTCTGGGAGCAGCGATTTGCCCTCGACAGTCCGGTCCATGAGGTAAGAAGAGTTAAGATTAGCTGCACTACTGCAATTGCTCAGGCTATAAAGCAGAAGAGATCAATCCTAGCTAGCTCTCCCCCCCCGCCCCCTGCAAAAAAAATGGCTTTGCTGCTGTCCCAAGGCAGGAATG